GAAGCTGGAGGCAGTCGCGGACATCATGGACAAGTTCGACAAGAAGCACAGCGATCTGAATCAGGCGAGGGCGATTTTGGATGATACTTGGAACGCCATCGTCGACTCTATCTACACGGACATCAGGGGTGCTACGTTCGACGAGATTGTCGCGGCTGCGGCGCAGGGTACCCAGGGCACTCTGGTTGGCACTGCAGACAAAACGGCGGAGGGCCAGGTGGTGGAGGCCAAGGGTGATGACAACAAAAACGGCGGCAAGCTTGAGCTGAGGGCCTGGTGGGAGCAGACTGTGGCCACCGAGGGCGGGATCGATTCGGCGGACTCTTCGGTGCTCACTCGGGAGATCCAAGCTCACTTGCAGGTGGAGTTTTCCAAGATCCCGCGGAAAGCGCACGTGGCGAAGGACGGCGACAACCACCCAGCGGGCTTCTTGCACATCACTACGACGGAGGCTACGAAGAGCGGCGAGACAAAGGGCGTAGTCGAGATGGCCAGCATGCAGGCGCTGAAGACCAACTTACCATTCTGGGGCCGAGTCGTGAGTGCGACTGCGGCGGCGAACCTTTCCAAGAACAATTGCCTGTCGCTTGGTGACGCGGGCGGCTTGGGGCCCGCTCTTTACTTGGACGGGGCAGCGGTGCAGAACACGAAGAAGAGCGATGCTTGCATCGCGTGGATGGTGCCCGTTTTGCCGCAGTCCAAACCTAAGGACGACGAGGGTGGCCCACCTTCTGCGAAGAAGTCTCGGAAGACCACGAAGGAGCCGCCGAGAGCGACCCACAAGGTCTTCTTCGATGAGAAGATCGAGATCACGAACGAGGGTAAGACGTACAAGTACGACATGCCCATCCTGAGGCACGTCGCTGAGGCTGTGGAGGCCCGATGCGTCTTTTCTCTGTCACTCCATTCCTCTTTCTCCCCCACCTCCTCCTCTTTCTCTCCTTCACCTTTATCATCTAAGTACCTTCCTCTTTATCATTTAAGTTTCTTCGTCTTTATCTTCCAATCATAGCTCTCACGATCTCCCTCGCCCTTCTTCTCTCTGGAGGCCAGAGGAGGGAGGAGGAAGGAATACGAGGGGGAGGAGGAGGAGGAAGAGGGCAAAGCGGAGGACGAAGAGGAAGGATGAGTAAGACGAGGAAGAACATGACGAGGATGAGGACGCGCCCCCCGCCCGCCCGAGGGTGACCAGCAGAAGATCTTCAGGGCTCCCGTGGAGTGCGAGCTGAACGGCAACGCCCGCGATGGGGCGGGGGTCAAGGCGGGTTTTGTGCACCTGCGAGGAGTCTGTGAGGAGGCACAGGTGTTCGGTCGAGCGGGGGAGCGCGCGAGCGTGCGAGCAGGCGAGCGCCTCGAAGAGAGATCGGAGGAACGGTTGCCCCCCCAACCTGGCAGGGTGGAAAAAAACAACACTGTATATATATGTAAGTGTATGCTGATTCATATGTAAATGCGTATGCGAGTAGATGTGTGTATATGTATCTTGTGGATGTACGTAGTAATGTATATGTAACCATGCGTGTAGATACATATGTAAGTTCATGTGTGAATCGATGTGTAAAGGTTTTTACGGATGTACATGTGTGCAAGTACAAGTTCGTGTGTTGATATGTGATGATGATGATGTGGTGGTGATGATGTAATTGATGGGTGAGGATCAGAAATTTGGTTGCCGTGGGCTCAAGGTTACCACCGATTTTGCTATTCAAGTAAAATGGTAGCGGATCCTAGAAACGAAAACGTCTTGAAAACGTGATCCAAACCGCGCCCGTTGGCCCTCTGAAGCCGAGGTGGATAATGCCCGCGGCGCCCAGCGCCAATGCCCCCAGACCCTCCAATGTCAATGATTCCCGCGGCGCAAGTTCAGACGTTCGCGCTTGCCCAGCCCATCCGTGCGCGCGGCGGCGCTGTGCCGTCGTGCATGGAGAGGCGAAGTGGAGGCGGCCTCTGCGCCGCCGCGAGCGCGGCGGGCTTGGGCCTTCGCGAGCAGAAAACGCAGCGCGAGCCGTTCCCGCGCCGTCGCGCGCGCGGCGGCGCTTGGCCGTCGTGCGCGGAGAATTTTGACGGTGGCGACCTTTGCGCCGCCGCTCGCGCGGCGGCGCTGAGCTGCTTGCGTAAGAATGCGATGGGGGCGGCCCCTGCGCCGCCGCGCGCGCGGAGGCGCCGGGTCGCCCGCCGCGGGAAACGCAGGCGTTGGGCTGTTGCGCGCGGAGAAATATGCAGCGAGGGCAGCCTCTGCGCCGCCGCGCGCGCGGCAGGATTTGGGCGCTTTGCGCAGAGACATCGCCGTCAGGCTGTCTGCTCAGTTAGCGCGCTACGGCCGCGGGGTTTGCACCGCTGGCGCCCGACAGCGTTTCGCGGAAACGCGGGCCTGTTGTAGGCTGCTTTGTCCGGTCTTAAACGCGGCTGTGTTCGACGGGCGCTGGTTTGCCCAATGATTCGACAGTGTGTTAGCGCAGGTCCGTTTGAGTGCACCATATCATTAGATGCGGTGTTTTTGTTATTCGCGTGTCTTCTAAGCTAGTTTACACATCGATTTCGGCCTTTTGCCCAGACGTGTTAGGCGCCGTTTGCAATGAAACCCTGGGAGACGACCTCAGAATTTGAAGTTCTAGATGGAAGCCATGCTGGGCCCTCGGTGCAACGGAAATCTGGACCAGACATTTCGCGCACCAAGAGCACGTTGACGCGAAAATGTGCGAACCAAGAGCCACGGCAACGAGCGACTAAGACGGCCCTGCCGACGCCCCTGCGGGCTCTCCTACAGACCTGACCCCCGGACATTCCCAAATCCCAAGTGTTTTTGGATCCTGACCCCGCCGATCTGCGTGAGGGGTGCCACCGAATTTCAGAAATGTAAGAAAAATCTTATGTTTTTGGACCCTGACCATGCCGATCTGCATGAGGGATGCCACCGATTTTCAGAAAAGTGACAAATCCCTTGTGATTTTGAACCCTGACCCCGCTGATCTGCGTGAGGGGTGCCACCGAATCTCAGAAATGTGGCAAATCCCTTGTGTTTTTGGACCCTGACCCCGCCGATCTATGTGAGGGATGACAAATTGCACCTACCCCAGCAATTCAGACAATACGATTTGGGCGTGGTAGCAATACCGTTTTGGGCCTCCCCCCCTCGCGCAGTCCATCAACAAGGACAGTAAGCAGCAAGTAGCTAACAAGGAACAGCAAGCAGCAATAATCATAACTGTAACAGTGGATACTGGAAGCTGCAACCGGCACAGGAAACTGCGAACCTCCGGCCTACAGCCTGGTGGCCCCACAAGGGGGCCGGCGGATCCTCGTCCTGGCTTCGAATTTGGTTTCGGATTATCGTGCGAAAAACAAGCGCACGAAACCGAAAAATGCACGGGGAATGGACGTCCGAATGATGGCGAGCTGGGCGAGAACCCAGCGAATCCACTCAACGATTGACCCAGGTCGTAAGGAATGACCCCCAGAGGTGAGATAATTGCCTCGTGACAGACAAGTGGGCGACGCAAACAAACGGGTTCGTCTGCGCCGGCATTGGTGCGTACGTTGCCCGCGTAAGCTCGCGCGTAAGTAAGCGACCTCGTTTCCATCGTAGCGTGCCGCGCTGGCTGACCGCGTAAGCCGCCGCGTAAGGTCGCTATGTTATCTCGCGCAAGCCCCGTTACTCTTCGTCGCTCATGTAGGGGCCCTTTAGTGCGAGCGTTGCTTGGCGAGTCGCCCGACCGCTCCCCAATTGCCCCTCACGACTAGATCTTCCAGTTGGTTTAGGCCTCCCAGATGGGGTCGGAGTAGATGGAGTCGGGGGATCGCTCCGCATTGCCGATGCATCGGCGATGCGGCGCAATGTGGGGCCCGCTTTTCTGCACGCCGACGTCGCCGATGCATCGCCGACGTCGCAGATGCATCGGCGATGCGGGGCGATCCTCCGACCCCGGCCAGGAGGCCTCCAGTTGGCCGCGAGGAGCCGCAGGGGCTGCTGGGGCAGAGGCCAGGCGCCTCAGATTGGAGAAGGCCGCGTTCTCGGGGTCAAACTTTTTGGCGCCGCGGCCCTGCGCGCGGCGCCCCGGCGCAGAGGGCTTGCCATCGCTCGGACGTGTGCATTGTTCGTCGGCGGGGACTGTCAGGGAGCATCCTGGAGCATCCGGTGAAAAAAACACGCGCGAAACCGAACAAAAAAACACTGGGAATGGACGTCCGAGCGATGGCCAGAGGATTGGACGGCCGCCCACCGCGCGCGCGCGCGTCCGGCCGGGGCCTCGCCGAGCGCGCGCTCCGCGCGGGGAGACCCCGGGGAGCCGGCACGGAGCCGCACGCGCGCACGCGCGCACGCGCGCACGCGCGCACGCGCGCGGAGGTCCCGGCGAGGGAGCCCCCCCCCCCGCCCCCCGTGGCGCGCCCTCGCGGGCGCAGAGTTCCATGCGCTTCGCGGTGTCTCCGCGCCGATGCCTCCTCGGCCTCCCCGCTCCTCCCCCGGGAGGCGGCGCGGGGGCGCGAAGTGAGTCGCGCTCTCGCGCAGCGCGCTGGCGCGCGGAGCAGCGGCGGCGCCCGACGGTGGCGCCGCCAGGGGGTCCAGCGTCGCTCCCAGAAGTCAGCGCGGACTTCCGACGGTTCGTGTGCACGTCCCTGTTCTCTAACGTTCCCCCTCTCTAACCAGCATCGTGCAAGAAGCCGCAGCCCCGCGTGCGACCCCGGCAGAGGCATCGTGACCTGCCCAGCCGAATTCGGAGGGGGGTGAGGCGAGAGGGGGGATTTCCTCGGCCGCGCGCAGGGGGGGGGGGTATGGGGAGGGGGGAAGGCATCTTAGAAACACCCCTGCTTCTCAGAAGGCGCGGGCCTTGCCTACTGCTCCTTAGAAGGCGCGGACCTTGCTTGTACACGTAAGGCCCGCGCCTTTAAGGAGCAGCCTCCCTCTGACCCCTTCCACTCTCTGCGCGCCGCCGACCTCCGCCAGTTTGTGTTCCCGCCATTGCTCGCTGCCCGAAGCTCATAGCGGGCGCCCTCCCCCGCAGGAGAGACGAGCGCTCGCGGCCCAGGGACGAGGAGCGCCCCAGGAGGGCCGCCGACGACGACCGCGGCCGCGGGGAGGCCGAGCGGTCGAGGAGAGACGACCGCCGCAGGCCTCGGCCGCCGCCGTCGCCGTGGCCGTGCCCGTCGTCGCCGTCGCCGCCTCGCCTTCGTCGCCCGCATTCCTCGGCCGCCGCCGCCGCCGTCGCCGTGTCCGTCGCCGCCGCCGCCGCCCACGCCCTCGCCTCCGCTGCCGCCGCCGTCGTCGTGCCCGTGGCCGCCGCCGCCCTGACTCTCGCCTCCGCCGCCGCCGCCATCGCCGCCAGGGGGTTCACCGAGGGGGGAGTGTCCCAAGGCGGGGTCAGGGACCGAGCCCAGTTGGATGCTCGCGGTTCCTTCGCCCAAGGGCGGTTTGGAACGATTTGTTCCTCACAACAACCCACGTCTGCCCCTGCTCCACCTTGACGTCCCCGTCCGTCGTCCGTCGTCGTCGCCCTAGCCCCAGCCCTCGCCTCCGTCGCAGCCGCCGTCGCCGTGGCCCCCGCCTCCGTCGCCGCCCCTGTCGCTGTGTCCGTCGTCAAACCGCCGCCCTGGCCCTCGTCTCCGCGGCCGCCGCCTCGGGAGCGAGGCACTATGCGTTCGCGTGGTCGCGTGATCGATCGCGGGCTTCGAGAGGGAAGGCGCTGCGCAGGCGTGCTCGTCACTCACGAGGCTCGCATCGCGCACTGGAGGGCCACAGTCGTGTACGTGGCTGGGCGCGGTGGGCAGCGTATCCGAATTCGCGGCGCCGGCGGCGCGGCGTATCGCGCAGCTCCCCAAGGTGCCCGACTGAGTCAGGCGCCTCTTCGGGGCGCTTGCGACAGCGTTTGTCGCCCGACCTTGCTCGTCAAAAAGCGTCTCTTGTGCGGCACTGGCGCGTAAGCATTCGGAGGCCCCTCGCGGAGTCCTTGCATTGGCTCTGCGCCCCTCTCCTCCGGCGCACGGACCGCGCAGGAGGCGGCGCCGAAGTCGCCGCCAGGGTCAAATCTGGCACGTCCCTCTACAGGAAGAAGTTTCAAACACAGTCACAAAACATAGTTAGGGGATGATTTGGGTATTTTTTTGAGCACGCTTTGGCTATGTTGAAACTTGTTGCCCAACATCCGCCTGTAGGGGGACACGCCCGACCGAAATTTGAGATGCCCGCGCGGATCTTCGAAAGTTTACAAGTTTACTCCCTCAGGTGTTCTGCGCGTGCGTATTGCAGACGCCGAAATAAGCATCGTTTTGGGTAGCCCTGTGTCGGCGAGGATCCTCTCGCAGAGATCGTACAAATCGGTGTCCAGGAAGGAAGTCATTCTTCCTGGGGATAGCGATGTTAGGATGTCAGGACCAGTCTTCAAAAGTCTCCATGATGGAGCCTCCGAGAGCATGTTCGCAACAGTGCCTGTTGTAATTTGATTGTTCCACTTGAGACATCCTCGATGAGCCGATAGTCCCCAACCGTGACGACTAGTCGAAGATGTGCGTATCGCGTGAAACATCCGCACTAGTTTAGCAACCATGTTTACTCATGATGCTCTGCATGATATGCAGTTCAGAGCTACGGTAGGAACATCGGGGGTGATAGTATAGTTTTTGGATCCCCGCCTGTCCTGCCAATTTGCCTCATTCAGCCCCAGGGATAATCATATACAGGACTTAGGGGGGGTATTCCTTTTATTATCGTCGGCATGCTGTTACGGAAGGGGCTCGATATTCTTCGGGTCTTTCTCGGTCTTGTTCTCGTAGCGTTCCTCGTCCACGCAGGCACCTGTGGGGCCAAACAGGGGCTTCGCTCTTATTTTGCGCTCCGTATTGCAGCAGCCTGGCTGTGTGTGGGTTCCGTGCCGTCGCCGTCCTCCTGTCGTCGAGGTTTGAGGGCCAAGGGAGCTCTCCTGTGGCGTCGGCAGTGGCTCCATCTTAGGCCACCCCTGCCTTCCTGCTCGCGGACCGCGGGGGGCCTCTGGCTGGACCGCCGTCGTCGCCGTCGTCGTCGCCGTCGCCTTCGCCGGCGTCGCCGTCGCCGTCGTCGGCGTCGTCGTCAGCGTCGGCCTCCGCGTCGGCGTCGTTGTTGTCGTCGTCGCCTTCGCTGTCGTCGTCGTCGTCAGGGTTGTCGTCGCCGTCGTCGTCGCCGTCCACGGAGGAGAGAGGAGAAGGAGGGAGCGGGAAAGTGGCAGGGTTGGAGCAACCAGGAGCCCTGACCACCACTGGGCGTCGCAATTTCTCCACGCTGGGCGTTTCTGCCCATTTTCGGGCTCTGGGCCGGGTACCATCACAGGGCGATCCCGCGCGAAAAAATGTGCATAAAGATTAGGGGCAGGGCTCCAGTCGATAGATTTGCCGATGTGTTGATGTATTGGCCCACGTCGGATCTCAGGGGGGGTTGAGGAGGTTGTAAGAGTCCTGAACCATGCTGTGGGAACACGCTCTGCCGCTGCCGCATGATTGATAGCACCGGCTCGGCCCACCTTGGAGTTCACTGCGCAATGTGTTCTCAAAAATGCTTTCGCTGCCATCAGGAGGTGGAGGGGGGCGTTAGTCGGCGGCTGGGCACTGGGCCAGCCGCCGACTGCCGCCTCGTCACGCGCGCGGCCCAGCCATCTGCGAGGGGGGCCCGCACGGCATCGGCCCACAACACAAGACCCGGAAGGCCTATCGTCCCTCCTCCTCCTCCTCCTCCTCTTCCATTTCCTTCTCCTCCTCCTCCTCCTCCTCCTCCTCGCCACCCTTCCTCCTCCTCCTCCTCCTCCTCCTCCTCCTCCTCCTCCTCCTCTTCCTCTGCGGCCCTCGCTGCTCCTCCTCCATCGCCGAAGGGCAGGGAGGAGGAGGAGGAGGAGGCGCGTGCAGGCCAGGGTGCCGACGGGGAGCGTGTGGAGGCGGGGACAGAGTCCTGGACCGGTGCCAGGGAGCGGATGCGAGGGGGGCGCCTTCGTCGTCGCCGTGCACGCTGTCGTCGAGGCCTCTGTCCGTTCGCTCGTCGGGGTCGCGCGTGGCCGCCGTCGGGGTAAGGCGGAGGCTCGGAGGAGGAAAAGGTACCGCTACCCTTTCCTCGTTTTCCCTGGGGCCTCTAGGAGGGCCCTCGTCGCCACCGCTGGATCCGTCTCGAAATCCTGGTCAAAGCGCACCCCCGGGAGAGGTCCAGGGAGGTGCGGTATGGGTTACCTGTTGGTTTCCCCGGGGACGAGGCTGGCGGATGGCGTCGGGCGGCGGCGCGGCTCCCGCGGCCGCAGGGACGACGGAGAGCGCCGCAGGGACGAGGAGCGCCCCAGGAGGGACGACGACGAGCGCTCCAGGACGGCGGGTCTTCTCTCCGAGGCCGGCACTGGTCCATCGCCAGCGTATGGGGGATCGGTCTTCGGGGACCTCAGGAGGCGGTGAACATGGACGTGTTCGGGCCTTGTGGGCCGAAGGTGTCTGTGTCCAGCGCCCCGAATCTCGACCCCCTAGGCGGTGGAAGTGGATGAGTCCCAGCCTCGCAGTCTCCCGTTCTTCGTTTCTCTTTGCCGACGAGCGATCCAGGCCTGCGGGTCTTCCTTCATGAAAGCAACAGGAGCCATGAGGAGTTGGAGGAGGAGGAGGAGGAGGAGGAGGGTGTGGAGAGGCGAGGGCTCGGGCAACAGAGGCGAGGGCTGTCAGATACGCCAGAATTCCTCGAGCGCGTCCTGAGCCAATCGCGTCGCGACCTCGTTCTCGTCGTCAGAGTGGGGGGGCCCAGCAGTCTCGCTTCTTCCCCCCGCGCGCGCGTGGCTGGATGGAGGGCTCCGTCTCGGGGGGCGATACATCGGGGTGATACCTGGGAGCGTGTGCGATACCTTGTGGGGAGTGCATGGGGGACATACACTCGGTGGGGGGGTGGGGGGCAGTGCATGAGGGCGATGCTTGGGGCCAAGGCTTGGGGGCAGTGCACGGGGGCAGCGCGTGGGGGGAATACATTGGGGCACTGCAGGGGGGGGGGGGGGCGGGCATTCTCGCCCCCGCCGCCACCCCTCCTACACGCAAGAGCTGGGCGCTGCGTCTCACATGCTGTCCCTCCTGCCTCCCTCCTCTCGGACGCCTGTCCTCCTTCCTCTCATCGGCGACGAGCGAGGGGGTGACGTGAGAAGGAGAAAGGCTTCTCAGAAGGCGGCGGGACTTCTCCGAACAGTCGCGCCATCTGAACAGTTGTGTGTGTGTGTGTGTCTTCGGAGAAGGCATGGGAAACTTCTCAGAAGGCCAGGGGACTTTCGTTTCAGAGAAGGCCCGCCCCTGATCCTTTTCCCCCAGGGTCGACGCCGATCTCGGGCCACTCCTGTGTCGGTCCTGTGTCGGTGCGTGGCCACTCCTGTGCAGGAGGAGAACATCTAGTCTGGGGACGATTGTTTGATTACCTTTCTCACCATTATTCATTTCTTGATTGCTTGTTCTCCTTAAACAATCCGCCTGTATGAGGACATGCCCGACCTAACCCGTGGCGTGGGTCCGCAGTCCGCGGCCAGCCGACGTCCTCGCGGGCGGCCCCTATCGACGCCGGGGGAGCCGGTGATGCATCTCGCCCCGCCAGGGGAGCGGCCGAGCGCGGTGCCGGCCCCTCTCAGCGACCACCAGCGTGTGCCGCTGCGCCCTGGCAGCGCGCCCGCGGGTGCGCCTTGGCCCTGGCCCCGTCTGCTGCCGCGGACCCCGGATCGCTGTTGCCTCGCCGCCGACGAGAAAAGTGCCATTGCGCTGGCATGTGGTTTGCGATCTGCGTCGTTGAGGCCTCGTCGGGCGTGTCCTCGGGGGCGCGGCGGAGAGCTCTGTGGAGGTCCTCCTCGCCCGCCCCCAAAAAGGGTGTGCGTTGCATACCGCAGCTGGGAGAAGGAGGAGGAGGAGGAGGAGGAGGAGGAGGAGGAGGAGCAGGTGACGCTACGAGCTTCGCTCAAAGTGCGCTCAAGGGAGTCGCGTGATTCCGTTGCATCTTCGGGGGACCTCGCCCGGCCCCAGAGTCGGTGCCTCTTATCGTGCCCGACGCGGGCTCGGTGCGGACTCCACGCTGAGATTTGGCGGGGACTCGACGCGGATACGACGCGGGCTCGACGCACGGATTCGACGCGGCCTCGACGTGGATAGGCGACGAGATTGGCGAGGTCCCCTGCAGGTGCCACATCAGGAGGCCAGACGCCGCGTCGGGGGCGGCCGAGGCGCGGCGCCAGTACTTTCATGACGATCTGCCTGGTCTCCCCTTCTCAGGCGTAAGTCGGGCATGCCCCTCTACAGGAAAAGCGTTCAAACATAGTCAACAAATCGTCGGGATGATGTCCAGAATATGTTTGACAGTCTTGGAATATGGTTTGACCAGTTTTGATTTGTCCTCAAAAATCCGCCTGTAGGAGGACATGCCCGACCGAACCTTAGGCGGGATAGGCTCAGGGTGGAAGGCTTCGGGCTTTCGAGGCTCGATGCCTTCGGAAGTGTTCGTCGGTTCTCGGCGATCTTCTGGCCTCGAGATGCTTTCCATCGGCTGCGCCTCGCCGAGGGCGTTCTCTGGGTGTGCCCAGGTCGCCCCGAACGGCCGCTGGAGAGGCGAGCTATAATGCATGGATATGTTCACCATCCGTCTTTCCCGCAGACGTTGCCCCCTTCATTCCTCATCGCCCTCCCCCGCAGCCTCAGACTCACCCTCACCCCGCCTCCCCCACTGCCGTTCGCCCTCCCCGCCATCCTGCCTCCCCCAAAGCGTTTTGGGGTCTGAGTGGGCAGTGGCCGACGCAGGGATTGCGTCAGCGATTATTTTTCAGCCGCGCGCAGAGTGGGGTGGGGGGAGGGGGGGAGGGCTTCTCAGAAGCACCCGTGCTTCTTAGAAGCCGCGTGCCTTATCTATAGATGTAAGGCCGGCGCCGTCTAAGAAACAGCCTCCTAAGAAGCCCTCTCTCCTCCCTCCAACCCCTTGTGCGCGCTGCCAAGTTTTGATCGAGGCAGAACATCTGACGCAACAGTGGACTGTCCGAGGTCCGAGGTCCGTGGTTGGCTCGCCCCTGGCGCGCGGAGCGCGACAGGGGCGGCGCCGGATGCGCCGCCATGGGGGCCCAGCGCCGATCCAAGAAGTCCTCGCGAAGTTTCGATAGAGTGTGGTCATGTTGCATTCTTAGAAGAAGAACCAGCCATACAACCATAAACTGTTGGCGCGCCGCGCGGATTTCTTGGATTCGCGCTGGACCCTCCTCCCTGGCGCGCGGAGCGCGCCAGTGTCGGCGCCAGAGGCGCCGCCGGGGGGCCCAGGCGCAAATCCCAGAAATCCGCGCGGTGCGCCAAAAGTTTATGTTTCTGTGTTTTTTCTTCTTCAGTTATTGTGCCTCTACACGCTCGTGCCTCTATCGGTCCCCTGGCCTGAGCTCTCCTCGTCGGCGTTGCCGGCGTTCCTCTTTTGACGGTCCCTCAGCTTGCAGGCCGTCGAGACAGTCGTTGGCGTTTCTTGATGTTGGCCTTGCCCGATGGAAACGTGTCCCTTCGGACGGGACTAGGACGAGGACGAATCCGTTCTCGAGCGACCCGACATGCTCCTAGAGCGTTTTGGGAACGCTCAACGAAGGCCGCGGCGCCCGAGACATCCTGCAGAGCCCCTGGATCTCAGAGATTCCCGATTTATCCTCCCCCGATGGTGTCCTCGTCCTGGCTTCGTCTTGCCCCTCGCGCCCCCGACAGGAGGTACGACCGCGACGGCGTGACCTTCGTGCCTAGAGACCGGCGCAGGGAGGAGCTGCCTGCGGCGTGCCTGGGCCGAGGGCAGGGGAGATGGCAGCCATGGGCCACGGGACGTCTCCCCAAACTCCGTGGCCCCTCGTGTCGATAATTACGTACGTACCCTGGTTCGGCGGCGAGCCTGGGGGGTGGGAGGGATGGACCTCCTCCTCCTCCTCCTCCTCGGAGGCGGGCCTTCTCGGAAGGCACAAACAGCCTCTCAGAAGGCACGGAGACTTCTGGGAAGCCCCGCCGCCTTTCGAGAAGGCCCTCTCCCTTTTTCACGCCCCCCCTGGGCTGGCCGCCGACTGGTGCCCCCCCCTCGCCCGGACGCTTCCTCGGCCCATGACTTGCGGCCCCCTCTTTCAGAGCGTGGATTACCTACCCCGCTTTCGCTTCCAGGCAAAACCAAGTCATACCACGCGCCTCCTCGTCAAGCGGCCTGACCAGTACGGGCCGTAGTTTGGCATCGCTTGGTATCTCTTGGAAGCGAGGGTGGTCAAAAGCGAGGTAGGTTTGTTTGCCCCCTACTCTTGGACGCCCCCGATTCCTGGCCGCGACGACAAGTGGACGACGCAGAAGAAGCGGGTCGTGTGCGCCGACGTGCGAGCGTGGGGTGCCTGCGTAAGCTCGCCCGTGAGCGCCCTCGCTTCGATTCTGGCGCGCCGCGCTGGCAGCCCGCGTAAGCCGCGGCGTAATGCCGCTGTACCATCTCGCGCAAGACCCGTTTTTTGGTTCGTCGCTCATCAGAAGGGAAAAAACACAGACACAATGAATCGTCGAGTCCCAGGAACATATGGGAATCTAGGGGAAGTGGGGGGGGGAAGACGACAACCCACAAAATATTGCAAAATGTGGGGAATCCTTGGATTTGCGTCGATTTGTTTGTGTGTGCCCCAGGGCCTCTTCAGCTGAGGCGATCCCTCGAACACCAAAAGCTTCGGATGCAACTCCTGGGAGGTAAAATTCTGGTTTTGCCCTGGTCCGAAGTCCGGATTAATCCCGCTTAAGCTGGCTTAATCCTGCTTCATCCGGTTTAATCCTGCTTAGTCCGAGACCAACTCCGGCGTAACAGCTCGCTTAATCCTCCTTCGTCTTTCCGACGAAAACCTCCCAGTAGTTGCCTCCCAAGAAAACAAAAACAAAACAAAATCCGACGGCGGCGGCCCGCTTCCAGACCCGCCCCCCTGCCTTGACCACCACCCGCGGACACCAAGGGCCCCCCCCCAAAAAACGGACGACCTTTCGGCCGACGAGGCCGTCGCTGTCGCTCCGCTGCCCCACCACTGGGCGCCCCGAGGAAAAAGGGAGGAGGAGGAGGAGGAGGAGGAAGGAGGAGGAGAAGGAGGAGGAGGAGGAGGAGGAGGAGGAGGGGAGGAGGAGGAGGAGGAGGAGGAGGAGGAGGAGGAGGAGGAGGAGGAGGAGGAGAAGGAGAAGGAAGGAGAAGGGACGAGGAGGAGGGAGGAGGAGGATCGGGATCAGGATCAGGAGGCGGGATGCGGGAGCAGGAACAGGAACGAAGAGGGAACAGGACGAGGAAGAGGTTGGATGAGAGAGATCAGGATGAGGAGGACGACAGGCCAGGAGGAGGGTGCACCAGGAGGAGGGACCAGGAGGATGGAGGAGGGAGGATGAAGAGGACTCTGAGCACCATGAGCAGGGAGACGGACCATGAGGAGGGAGGAGGACCAGGACGAGGGAGGAATATCTTCAGCAGTAGGATCAGGAAGAGGGAGCAGTCGGAGGACGAGGGGGAGGAGGAGGAGGAGGAAGGTCGAGGCTGTTCAGGAGGACGAGGAAGGGGTGCGTGGCTCCCGGCGCGCCGCCAAGGCCAACGGGGCCGAGAGTGTCGCCTCGGCCCGCGCCCAGCTGGGGGCGCGGGCCTCGCTTTTGGGGCGCGCTCTCGGCCTTGGGCGTTCTCTGCTCCGCCCAGCCCCCCCTGGTCCTCACCGTCCCCGCTCGGCCCGCCTCTTTACAATTACCCAAGACGAGTGCTTCTCACTGCTCTCCTTCGCCCTGACCCTGTCACGAAGATGTGCCGCCTTCTCCACGTATTGATGTATGGTACGCCTATTTGTTGGCATTTGTTCGATGTGTTTGCGTGTCAAACCGGAAGGTTCTCGGTGTCCCAAAACGGTGGTTCCATTGCAGCGTGGGCCTCAGCGTTTAGAATATCGATCTCGCCCAAGCGCGGGCCATTGTTCTGGATCCGAGTCCTCTCTCATCGTTGTCTGCCTCCCTCTTTTCCCCTCTTTTGCCTTCCCCTGGTCCTCCTGCTCCCCCCCGATCCTTCTTCGCTTGGAACTCCTTCATCTGTTGTGCGGCCTCGTCCTCCTCGGTCGGTCCGTCGTCATCCTCTTTCTTTTTCTCCTGCTCATCTGCCACTTCTGACGTCCTATCCTCATCCTGGTCTTCTTCCACTTTCCTCCTTCCCATTATGTTTGTGAATGACACGATGATGATTGATGTCCTTGTTGGAGCTCCACGTCCGTTATGACACGCGTCGGCGGGTAGCGACAACATTAGCTCAATGGAAAGGGATGGGTGAGAAGGGTAGGATGTCAGATCTGGTGCGAACACACCTAGTTTGCCACCCTCCTCTCTCTCTATCCATCCTCTTCCATCCCACCTCCTCCTTGCTCTTCATCGCCCGTTCCCTCCCTTGTCATCTTCCTCTCTCTTCTCCCCCCTCTCTTCCCCTTGATCCTCACCCCTCCTCTCCGCCCCGGCCTTCCTTCCCCCTCCTTTCTCTCCCCCTCCTTCTCCTCCCCCCTCCTCATCCTCCGCCTCCCTTCCGCCACCGCCTCATCACAGAAGGCTTTCGTGGTACCGAGTTACAACGACCACCAACAGGTGCTAGCAGACCTTCGCTTTACGATCACCCACCACAGTGACAACGCGCCAGCCAACTACCCAATCCACTCCAGCCAGTCTGCGAACTTGCAGATGCCAGCGACCCAACCGCAAAGGGAAGGACACAGAGACCCCGCGGGACAGCAAGACCAGCAGTCTGACAGCTCCGAGGCGGGCGCGACGACTGACGCCAACAAAGAGTGGCGGCCATGGCGACCTTACGAAGTCGCGTGCCAACTCGACCAACTCGACAACGCCTCCAACACTGAGGCACCATCCTCAAGATGGGACCGGCCGAACGGCGGCCCACCAGTGCGTCACCTACCCTACATCCCAGTGTCGACCAGTTCCGCTCCAGGACAAACACGACATCGCACCAGCTGCTCCATACCTCATCCTCATCTCGGCATTAGCCTTACGCCAACACGTACGCACTCA